GGTCTGCCACCAACAAAGATGCCTTTGATAGCTGGAAAAGAAGGAAAGGCTATCTATTGCGACATTGGCTATGGACCAAGATTTGGAGAAGGCAATGATCTTGTGATTTCCAAGAAACCAAATTTAAAAAGTTGTTCCGTGAACCTGAACAACTCGTACCAGTGCCCAACCGGTCAGAATGCTAACACGTTTCTAACCGGAAATCAATTTTTTACTGTCAGTGAAATGGAAGTTTTTGGTTTTGACAAGTAAGAAGCTTATACGTTATGACTGTACTGAACTATGATTTATTAGTAAATTGATTCAGTTGGTTTAGAAAATAGCCTAGAGAAAATACGCGCACTGATTGGATAAAAATCGTATGTCTAGCAATTAGATTATGAGCTCGAGATTTCTATCGCGTGATAGTTGGGCATAGAAATCGACAGCGAATAATCTAATTTTTAGTATAAATCTAGTAGTTTTTCGAAACTTTAATCTTAATTCTCCTCAGAGACACTTCGAAAACGCAAAGAGGCGGCCGCCACCGCACATTGCTATTCACTATATACAACAGAATAGATAGTCACGTAGTGTAGCCAATCAGAGAACGACATTCGTGATAGAACACTAGTAGATCGATACTAAAACTCGACAGAAAAACAGAAAAGTTGTAGTATTCACGTGGTTCGTTATTTTGTTTGGGTTGTTTTCTAAAAGAAGAAACTATCGTTGTACTTCAACCTTGAAGTGACGAAATAAAAACAATATACAAAAAAAAAAAACAAAAAAACGTGCAGCTAGCTATCTGTAGACCACAGTCGAACGTTGTCGGTGGACACAGACTTAAGTTCTAACATCTCAACGATCGTAGCTATCATATGGAAATTGTCTGTAGCAATGATAATCACGTACGGACGCACATGTCACCTACAGCACGGCAATATTTGTACATTTGCCAGTCTCTCTTAATTTTTGTCTTCCGACCTATTTTGTACTGTATTAGTTATTAGTTAGATTAGTCAGGCAGACTTAGATGTCATACTTTTAAAAGTCACTTGCGTTACAAAGATATTGCTGAGATAAACTACTACAGCTACGATAGTGGTATTCTTTACTATTGTTCACGGCTGATTTACTTTAAATATAATCAGAAACCTTTTACCTATTTCTTATATGTAAAAGTAGCTTTTTTTAATTCACAATATACAGCGCAATACATCACATGTACATTACATTACATTACATTACATTACATTACATTACGCTACAGTGCATTGCATAACTAACATTACATTACATTACATTACATTAATTTTTCTTCTTTTTCTTTATTAATATCATTATTAATTTTTTTTTTTTTGCCATGGCCACCTACACTAAGGATTATTTACCATACATTGAATACTTATCATACACTATTTAATCTTTTTTTTTTTTTTTGCTGGCTATGGGTACAAGTAGTCCTGAAAAATAATTTCTCTATTTTGCATATTCATATTTTTAGAAATAGGAGAGATATCAACAAAAGAAAGAGCACTTTCCAGTGTAATAAAGAAAGTACACTTTTAAATTATGCTGAAGGAATTTTTTTGTATAAATAAAGTTGTCAACTCAACTCAGCTTTGTTTCACGTTTTTGCTGCGGAAGGACACTATGTGCAGTTGTCTACTTAAACGACAGACAAAGACTGGCCACTATCCAATCGCACGTTAATTACGGACCATTATTAAGGCTCACAGTTCTTCAGTTCCATTGATACAAGGTTTGTACAGGTCATGGAATTTATAATTTCAATTTCCAGGCCTGGAAATTGAGTGAGGGTCATGCGTGAGGTCGTGGTAAAGCAATATGCTTTCTGAGAATAAAAGGCAGAAAGATAAAAAAAAAAAAAAAAAGAACATTGAAAACATAAACACAGTCACGCATTTTATGCATTGTTAAGTCGGAAAATACCTTAAATAAATGATTGTTTTGACAATACTCTGAGAACAACTGCTTGACGTGGGTAATGGAAAACTCGGAAAGGTCATGAAGAGTTATAAAATTTTAAAAGCTCAAAAGAGAACGAACCCTCTTGATAGGGCTGGTGTCGCTTTCCTTCAAGAAGACTATACATCAATTTGACTGAATGTTTTCTTTTTTTCTTTTGAGCTCGATGTCTAGGTTTATCCCTGTCTTTGATGACTTTGTTCGTCACCTGACGTTCTGGCACCACATTATTAAAAAATACCGAAGATCATGTTGTTACTGTTGTTAATTAACTTTGTTAATAAACTTAATAAACAGCTAATAAACTTCCTCTCAATGAGAGCAAGACAAAAGTGCTTACCATAACTGGCAAG